AGGAGAGCCATGGACATTAGAAGAACTTCCCAACCAGAGCCTCCCAGGTAAGACAATACATATTTTTCAGGGACTAGTGAAATATATATATTTTTAAACAGCTTGTATTTTATTGAGAGGGAAAAAAAGTGAGTAGTAGTGAGGTTAAAAAAAGGAGAATTGTCTTACTAGGATAAGAGTATGAAAAAATTGGGTATATTATTTTTTAAATAGTCCCAAGGAAAGACATGTTTAGGGTGATTAGTATGTATTTTTATTCTATACATGTCCTCTCTAAGTAGCATTTCTGCTTAAGTGACCAGACTTTGGGTTTATGCAAATACATGATCTAGAAAACTGTTCTCATTAGCAAAGAAATATTACACAATACCCACCATTATAAGAAAAAAAAAAAAGAACAGGGAAAACAAATGACAGATGAAAATATTTTGGTATAAAATTACAGCTAGACAGATGGTAGATATTTTGAATAGTTTTAAAGGTGTTAAAGGAAAGGGAAACATAAAGGAGCAAAATAAAACCATTCAACTTTCAAAACTATTAATGTAAATTGTTACCATAACTTATTAAGAAGAAAAAAATATGTTTCTTATTAGAGATCAATACTAATATTAGAAATATACATGAGCAGTATAGGAGAATTTCTTAGATATAATTATGAAAATGATTGTGTTTTTCTGACCAAGGAGGATCGATATGTGAGATACTACTTGTAAATAGAACAAATATAGGAAAGACTGTGTTAAGAACAGTTGTTGTTGCCCAGAATAGATCAGATGTGGGAGAAAGCATTTTACAAAAAGCCTAACTGTCTCATTCTTCAGAAGATACAGGGCATGCACACTATAAATGTAGAGAACATGAGAAATTTTTTTAAAAATCATTTTTACAGTACATTTTAAACACAAGAGTGGAAGATTCCTACTCATGTAGTGAATAAGAGAAATCCTTATAGCAGAAGTAAAATCTAGCTTTTCTTCAGAGAATGCATACAAGGGAAACACCCAATAAATACAATAAACATCAAAAGCCTTTTTACAGTGATCAAAATTATGAAGTACCACAGAAATCACAGAGAAGTAAAATCTTACGATGTGAACAAATTATGAAACCTTTCAACTGTTGTTATACATGAGGTAACTCTTATTGTAGAGAAAAAACGTAGACAAAACAACACAGGAATTTATTGTGTCTGAACATGCCCCTTACTGACCATCTGAAAACTTATACAGGAGAGAAACTCTCTGACTGTAAACAATGTAAGAAAACGTTTTCCCAGAATTCAGACCTCACCATACATCAGAGGAGTCACATAGGAGAGAAGCCCTATGAAAAGAAACTATGTGGAAAAATGTTCTACAAGAATTCACACTCTGTGCATCAGAGAACTCACACTGGAGAGAAATCCTATGAATGTGAAGAATGTGGGAAATCTTTCAGTTACAAATCAGCTTTGAATAAACATTGGAAAGCTCACACAGGAGAGAAACCCTATGAATGTGAGCAATGTAGGAAAATGTTCTCCCAGAAGTCATACCTCACTGTGCATAAGAGAACTCACACAGGAGACAAACCCCATGAAGGTGAACAGTGTAGGAAAACTTTCTCCTGGCATTCACAACTCACTATGCATAGGAGAACTCATACAGAAGAGAAACCATATGAATGTGAACAGTGTGGGAAAGCATTCTCTAGGAAAGAAAACCTCACTGTACATAAGAGAACTCACACCCTAGAGAAACCCTATGAATGTGAGCAGTGTAGGAAAATGTTCTCCCGGAAGTCACACCTCATTGAGCATTGGAGAACTCACACAAAAGAGAAGCCCTATGAATGTGAATATTGTAGAAAAATGTTCTCCCGGAAGTCACACCTCACCGTGCATATGAGAACTCACAGGAGAGAAACCCTATCAATGTGAGCAATATAGGAAAATGTTCTCCTATAAGTCAGGTCTCACTGAGTACTGGGGAACTCACACAGGAGAAAAACCTATGAATGTGTACACTGTAAGAAAACATTCTTCTGCAAGTCAAACGTCATTTTGCATAGGAGAATACACACAGGAGAGAAACCACATGAATGTGAACAATGTGGGAAAGCATACTCTAACACAGGAAACCTCATTGTGCATAAGAGAACTCATGCACCAGAAGTCACACATCATTGAGCACTGGAGAACTCACACAGGAGAGAAACTCTATGAATGTGTAGAAAAACTTTCTCCTGTAAGTCACACCTCACTCTGCATAGGAGAATTCACACAAGAGAGAAACCCTATGAATGTGAATGTGAACAATGTGGGAAAGCATTGTCCAGCAAGGGATATTTCACTGTACATAAGAAAAGTCACAAAGGAGAGAAGCCCTATGAATGTGAACAATGTAGGAAAATGTTTTCTCAAAAGCCACATGTGACTTTGCATCAGAGAACTCACACAGCAAAGAAACCTTGTGAATGTGACTGATATGGGAAAACATTCTCATGGAAGTCACAGTTCACCACACATCACAGAACTCATACAGGAGAGTAATCCTATGAATGCGAATGATGTGGGGAAACATTCTCCAGCAAGGGATACCTCACTTAATGTAAGAAAACTCACAGGAGAGCAGCCCTATGTATGTCAACAATGTAAAAAATTGCCACAGGTATGCACTTGTTATATATATTGGAAAAACTTACTTCGGAGAGAGAGCACATGAATCCAAACAATCTAGGAAAACATTCTCCAGCAATGAATACTTCACTGTACATCAGAGAACTCAGGGAAGCATCCTATAAATGTAAACAATGTGGAAAAAATTCTGGAAGTCACAACTCACTCATCATTGGAGAACTCACAGGATGCCCTATGAATATGAAAAATGTGGGAAAACATTCTGGAAGTCAGCACTCAGTGTACAGCACTTCTGGGACATCAGAGAACTCACAGTGGAAATAAATACTATGCCAACAGTGTAGGGAACATTTTACTGGAAGGAAGGGCTCATTTTATATCAGAGGGCTCAAATAAAAGTCAAACCTTATTAATGGCAAGAATATAGGAAATTTTTCTTTTGGATACTATATGTTAGTACGCATCTGAAAACTCACACTGGAGAGAAACTTCATGAATGTACGGAGTATAGAAAGTCTTTCATTTATAAGTCAGCCCTCAATGTACATCAGAAAATATAGGAAAGAAAAATCCTGTGAACATCAATGGTCCAACAGGAAGTCTTTCATCTAATACAAGTCAATCCTTACTGTATATCAGAGAATGCGAGAGTAAGTCCTATAAATGGGAATGGTTTAGAAAAATGTTTTCAGAGTAATCATTCTATACTCTATATTAGAGCACTAACAAAGAAGAGAAAGTCTGTAAATGTGAAAAGTGTAGTAAAACCTACTGCAAAAAAGCCACAATTTACTGTGTATCAGAGAACTCTGATCAGAAATCTAATGAATGTTAAAAGTGAAGGAATCTTTTTGCTAAAATTCCAAACTCACTATGCATTAGTCAACTGAAATGGGAGAAAATCCTCAGTAATGTAAACTGTGCTATAAATCCTTGAGTCATTATTCAGAAATATGAATTAATCTCTTAAGGTTACAATGTTTAATGTTTTTCAAATTCAGCCAGCCACAGTACTCCAAATTAAGGTATCAGAAAATTTGGGGATGATATCTATGACTATAAAAGGGGAACATTTCATAAGGATGATGACTAAGATCTAAAAATTTTCCAACTATAGAAGCAAAGCACTTATTTTGGCAAATTGCTTTCTTTTTTTCCTGAGAGATTTTTGATATAGGGTATGCATGCTCTCTGGAGAGACAGAGACAGAACTCAAGAAACCACACCCCAGGAGGATGGCCATACCACAATCCCTTCTCCTCCATTTGCCTCTCGGGATCTTGGGCACACATGCACACACACCTGGCTTGAGTTTTAAGTTTTTTGGTCCGGGACTTCAACTGCAGTGGAATATATTATAGTTCTGTTGTTTAACCAATACCCCATCTGCTGTTCCCAGCAAAAAATTATTTCTAAGACCTCTGTTTGATGGTTAAAGATGCAAGAAAATATAATCACTGATTTTGGCAAAAATAAAAATGAATATAAAAATTTGTTTATCTTCCAGTTCTGGCTATGGTATACAAGACAACAGAAAAAGTGTCTCAAAGCATAGTGGAAACTGAAAGATTAGAGGACATAGAAGCATTGGAAATGGTTATAAATATTAGAGTCAATGTGGGGAGAGGGTGGGAGAAGGTGGAGAGTGTAAGAAAAGAAATTAGGGAGGAAAATAGTCAAGACATTTATGGGGTACAGAAATGGGTTATAATATGCTGATGATAATGTGTTTGCATCCTCACCTGGTCTAGTGGGAAGTGTATTCATTTTGGGTAAATTCAACTTACAAGCTAAGTGATGTGTAGTGATTAAATGTTTAAAATAAATTAAAATT